CCCCAAAACCCCAAAACCCCAAAACCCCAAAACCCCACAGGTAATTTATGCTATATATAATACCTGAATACCTAAATGGAGCCTCTAGGTACAAGGAAGATAATACATGAGGGTACGGATACAGAAGGTGAGATATGGTGGTACCAGAATGACAGTCCTTAGCCCTTTAATACATGGATGAGGAGGCTGAGGAATACTCTGTGGGGAAGAATACTAGTGACATCTGAAAGATGTATCCCGTAGAGAGCGATAGGTCGCTTGGTAAATTACAGCGAGGAATACTGGGATAAAGATCAGTACATTTTAGAGTTTAGTCTCTGTTTGGCTCAAAGATTTTACAAATTTGTAAATTTTTAGCAATGTAAACTTTTTGATACAGAAATCAACCAATATATTAGTGTATCTTGAGCTTGAAGATATGTGAAAAGTTGATAATCTCAAGTATAGATCCAATAAGTCAAAAGCTAGCACAGAGAAGAGAGTAAGATGTCTTTCAAGCAATGCAGCTCTATTTGTTTCAAGAATAGCTACAAAGAGTATCTTCTGCTTGAAGTTGGCAACCATAATTCATAAAGTCTATGTTTTTAGCTGATTTACAATTCTTGTGTTTAGTCTAATTCCCATCTCTTTATTTAAGATCATACGGTTCTATGAATGGTCCTAACTTTTAGTAGTGCATCAATTAGCTATCATTAGTCAGTTTTGCAACCTTTGGGTGTTGTAAACAGCCATATTTAGAAATGAAGAGCAAATTCAGAAAGAATCAACCGAGATTGACACTCAAAGTTGTGTTAATCTCCATTTCAACATCAAGAAACTCAAACTAGAACTTGATTCAAATTTGGATCTTTACTTCTTTCTTAATACTCTCAAGTAGCTTCATTGGAATTAACAAATTTAGAGATTGAAAAATACTAAAACAACTCTCCCGTTTTATGATGCCTTCAGAATTAAAACTTTCGTTCTTTCATCAACCTTTGGCAGGTAGCCATATGGAAGAGTTTCTATCCAAATCCATTCCAGTCGCAATTGAAAAAATCAAGATTTTCAGGAATAAATTTGATAAATCTCCGTCTTACTTCAATTTGGTTCTTCGTGCTAATATGCATACAACAGCAAACGTGTACTTGAATAATTTTAAAAAGTAAGCTCGATCAAACATCTGTAGCCTGAACATGAAGCAACTCAAGAGGCTGTTCTCAGCCAATAAGCATACAAAATCTCTTGCCATGATCGATTGCACATTTCGCCTTCTAGCTTGCCCAGACTTTTCAGATTGATTCAGAGGCACAACTCTGTCCTTACTTAGCCTATTTTATGTGGGGGTAGTAAACAGAGATGAGGCAGATGAACACTTACATGAGCTGGATGGACTGATTTCAGGCTTATCAAAATCCCCAGATCTTCATAAAAGCATCAAGAAAATTGAAATTATCACCTTCAAAACCTCCCAGCAACAAGACGATCAAGTTCTAGCGAAGTATGGGTTTCCTTGTGACTAATAAGTTTCAATACTCTTGTCTTACGGTTCTCCAATTTCTTCCATCCTGAGGCCTCATAGTGGTTAAAATAAAGCATTAGAGACATATCTTGTCTAGTCTAGTCTTAGGTTACGCAAAGACTTTTGTATTCGCCTTCTCAATTAATGCAAGAGAGAGCTTTTGAGGACAAGAGATAACTATTCGCATTCCTCATTCAAGTTCTAAAGAGCTTGACTGAGAAGCTATTGATAATAAATTGGTACTCAAAAGAGGGAATATTTGCTCGCCTTGAGCTAAGGAGCAAGAATTAAAGATCAGTCGTCCAAACCCTCTGAAGCATTTGTTAAACCAAAAATTTTCAATTTATACATCACTTCAACATTACTATTCCTTCCTGGGGTTTTGGGGTTTTGGGGTTTTGGGGTTTTGGGG